TTTGTTTGAGGTACAATGTTGTGGAGAAGGTGACCTTACCTAGGGACTGTGATTTGTTTTCAGCAGAGCCTTTTGGTGACACTGGTCCTCCACTACTGAAGCAACTCTAATGACTGCATAGGCATCATTCTTTCTCCTCTGGGTGAAACTGAGGTCAAAGCAAATTCCCTAATCCCTGTTTACTTTGCTTTGCTACTATTTTTCCTTTTCATTGTCTGTAACATTAATACCTCCATTTCCATCAACATGTGCATAAATATGAGTGCAGCTGGAAAACTGACAACCACACTCTGCTGAAGCAGTACTAATACTGTATTCTAACACTGCAGATTTTTATTTGCATTAAATTGAGAGTGGCTCATGCACCAAGAGACAGAGAGTTGTTCATCACACACTTTTCAGGGAATGGGATCCTTGCCCATACTAGAAAGGTGGTTAACATGAAGTAAGCGAGCTGGACTTAAATTTGCCCATTTTTTTAATGTGGATATAGGGCATATAGTTTTGACCTGAATTAGTCCATGTTAATTAAATATAACCTAAACATTGCTTTTTCTAGGACAGAGCTGACACATTGCCAACAGACCTTTCACTGTCTGACCTTTAGTACACAGCGGATGTTACACTCTATTTATTTCATCTTACTCCATTTTTCCACAGGACTTCTGATTCTTCCAATGTATCTGTGATGGATAGAGAATGAAGCAGGCCTGTGTCACAAAAAGCAGGAAGAAGTGGAGTAGTCTTGTGGTTAAGGTAATTGGCTGTGATCTAGGAGGTGTAGCTTCTATCTCTGCTTCTGTCATAAAGTCTCTGTGGGAGGCTGCATGGAAGTCTCCCCACAAATTTCTGAAAGTAGCTGCTAATATTTTCTTCATTATTTTCCAGGAATTCCACACAGGGAATTGAAATCTGATTTCTGCGAAGTCAGCTGAAGTCAATAAAACCTGCAGATGTGGGGCTGCTGTGAGAATTCAAGGTCTTGGGTGGTTGGCACTGTACATTGAGTACCAGAGGTGAAGAAAGAAGGTCTTAAAATGTCTGAGTTCAGGTTCCCTTAGATTTATGGCAGACCTTCTGTTTCATCTTGCCCAAGGCAGTTGCAGCCAGGCTCAGACAGCCCTAGAACAGGTTTCTCTCCCTTGGCTGTGTGAGGGCTGGAATCTGGGGGAGCTGGAGGGGACCAATCCAAACCTGGCTTCTCTTTTCACTCAAGATGCTGCTGTAACTGCAACGCCAAAGGTAAACACCTTGGCACTGCTGGCAACTGTTTGAATGGAGACATCCATTTTCCAGCCTCATTTCCCTTCTGCACAGTGATACAGTTATAAAAACAACTCTCACTTCATGTGGATATGGTGGCTACATCAATAACAGTAACTCACCAGGTCTGGCACTGCTCTCTGGTGCCAGCTGGCACAAAGGGTTCCAAGCCACTGACCTCTCTAGTCTTCAGAACAGGAAGGCTGTATGCAAACTTCAACCCAAGAGTGGCTCCTGATCTTTGAGGTCTCTGAATTGGGAATGGCTTGGGAAAATGTTACTTGTACCAGCCTGTCTCCATGCCAAGGACCATTCCAGCAAACCAAAAGCAGAACTGGCAGATTTGTTGCATCCAGAGTTGTTCCCTGGCATTCTTTATCTTCCTGCTATAAGTGAAGCCTGTAGCTCCCAAGGGGCACTAATAAAAGACTCAGAATTTTGTGTGAGAGGAAAGGTGTATTTCTAGCACAGGTCAGAAATTTTATTTCATTCTTTGTTCACCTCCAGGTGTGAGGAGCACATGGGTGGCAGAGGAAGGAGAACTGAAGGAAGTCTTTGACAATTCTGACTCTATGTGGTAATCAACATTTTTCACCAGCCAGCATGAAACAGACCCACCTCAAGACACCTGAGCAGACCTGAGCAGGTAGCCAGCTTTCCAACAGTCCCTTCTTTTAGCTGATTTAGTAAGGCAACATTTACATGCAAGCAGAAGCTCAGACAGCCTCAATCCTCACACCTGCATGTGCTTGGCCCTGCAGCTTAATTACTGCAGCTGGATCTGAGCTTGCTCCACCCATGCTCTGAGCTGATGGATGTAACTTGTCCCAGGAAGCCTCATGTTCTGCTTGCCCCAGGAGTCGTGCTGTAAGTTAAAATGTATGTCAAGCCCTGCTTACTGCCAGAGCCCAGGCAGCCTGTGCATCTGCCTTGTGTGTAGTGCTTGGAGCCCTGTGGAGAGGCAGGAAACATTAGTGGGAGTGCCATCACTGATGGGGCTGTGCAGTGTCTCAATGGATCTGGCAAGGGTCCTGCTGCTCCTGCTGAATTCACAACCATAATATCAGTTTAGTTTAATGGTGTAACAGCCCTCCAGGCAGGGTCATGCCTTCACACAACCCTGGCTGGTTGTTCTGCTGTTTCCTTTGGTTGGTTGCTTTTTTCAAACATATTTTCTGAGGAGCAAAGAGGAAGAACTCCCCTGTCTGCTCTGTTGGGATTCTCCAGTCCAGGCCTTAACAAGCATCACTGGGCGGGTCCAAGTGATTGAAAAGCACTTTGTGGTCTGAGCCAAAAAGTCATTATGGTCATCTTGAAACTTTAATAAAATCTTGTCACAATTCTGTAGAGGATAATAGCCAAATTTTGTCCAAGGTTACATTGAATCAGACTGGCTGAAGATCCTGAACAAATGATTGTACTGCTGGAATTTAGGGTTTACTCTTTGGCCACTGTAAGCCTGCTCCTCACATAGGAGTTTTCCATTGAGTTCAATGGAAGTTGGATCATATTAATACGTTTTCATAGAATTAATAAAAAGCAATCAAGATCTTGCAGTCTCCATTTGATGCATTTTCAGGCAAAACTGTCAGTGTAAATCAACCGAGAGGTTTACAAAAGGGAGAGACATTGGAAATGTCCCAATCCTGTGACACTATTTGTAGTGGCCATTTCTCACAGTATTTTCAATACTGATAATTTACTGTACAGAATTGGACTTCACTGCACAATTTCACAACTTAGTTGTTCAGACATTGTATGAAGGGAAAGTTGGCACAAAGACTGCAAGTTCAGATTGTCCAGATTTTATTTTAGTTTGTTGTTGTTGTTATGTTGTTTTTGTTTGTTTGTTTTAAGAAAACTGGTATTACTAATTTTTAGAGCAGAAAAGCCTAGAAATTTTATATAGAGTTCCATGTACCTTGTCTTTCACAGACTGTGGACCAGGTTTATTTTTAAATATGGAAGCTGATTTTTGTTAATCTTTTTGCTAGTTCCAGTGTTATCAGTTCATACCAATTTTTGGTGATTCTGATACCTCTTCCAAGGGTGTTTCCTATAATTTGGGGCTTTCCTGAGAGGTGCTGAGTGCAGTCAGCTTTGATTTGTTAACGCATTGATATACTGATATTGTTCTGGCTTAAAACTAAAGAGAAAAAAGCACAAGGAGAGCTCTCTTTCTCAGCAAATGACAAAACTATTTTTTACCTCACTCCAGCAGCAGCTGCTTCAGGTGTACATTTGCTGCTGTCAGGTCAGGGACATCACAGTTTTGCAAGGAGAAAGTTGGTCCCTGGATTGGATAGGAGGACACATGATCTTTTGTGGCTTTGGCTGGAGATGGTTACTTACAGCAGGTCAGACTTTTGTAAGCTTTCTGTGAGCAGCGGAAGGCTCCGAGGTCTCTCAGATCACACGTCTGGAGCGCACACAGGTCAGGAGCACTCCTTCTTACCTGTTTGGGTGAATGAAGGATTTCCTCCTTGTATGCTTCACAGGAAAATGTCTGACATTGACTCCAGCTCATTAATTAAGAAGGTTGGGCCAGGAACATTGGTTACCTTTCTCACATCTCACTCTGGGAAAGACAAAGCCAAATTTTACTCCAGTTTAAATCTCTTTACAATGACGTGAGAAAATTTCCTGTTATTTGGATGCTGTACCTCACAACAGTCATTTACTTCTCCTGTTCAAAGTCCCATAAAAAAAAGAATGCTTGTGAATAAAATTCCCATAATAATTTGTGCAGCTAGGATAATACACAGTCAACTGGGGTTATTTTGCATCTAAGGAGATAGAACAATATGTAGCTATTCTCACTTTTTCTGGAACTTTTCTCACTGAGAGAACTTTAGAAAAATCCATCTAATTTATAGGACTCCTTGGGCTTGAGGACCACACATCAAGCTGCAATATTTAACATATCATAGCAGCAGCACAATACCATATAAAAATAACACAATAAATGATTAATAGACTAACTCTCTCAAACTCATTCCCTCTGATTATTTCTTTACAATTAAAACAAGTTGCTAGGGTTTTTTTCAAAAGAATAAGAGATTTCTCTCTGAAGTTATCCACTGCTGGTATTTGTTTAAGTTTAAAAGAGCCTGAGCTCCTTTGGCTGTCTTCTTAGTGCTGTATTGTGCAGTACAGACTCCCCTTCTGGTTTCCAGACATACCTTCCTTGCCCACTGCTGGTTCCCACTGCCTCAGATGCAGGAAGCATGGACTGTGTGTGCTGGGCTCTGACAATGCCCTCGGGATGGTAGATGGCTGCTGTGACTTTCTGGCAGCATGAATGGGGCAGCCTTGGGGCAGCCTGCCCCTGGCTCTAGGACTGAGATAATACCAAAGAGCTGGGAAGCTGCTTCAACTTAAAAAAGAGAGATGCTGTTTTCCAGTTTTCCAAAGGTTCAAGATAGCAAGATGTACTCTTGCTAATTCAAACATATTTATATTTTAGTGTTTTCTCACAGATAACATAGAATAAATACATAGATACACAGGTGACAACACTATGTATCTTTACCCTGGGCAAATTAACTGAAGTACTACAAGACATGTACTTATCCCAGGGACTTTCATGGCAACAGCAGATGGATTACACTCTGGGACACAGCATATTGCTTTATGGGAGGTACTGTTGCATGAGGGGTTTGTGAGTGCTCAGGGACAACCCTGTCATTGTGTAATTTTTTTCTGCCTGTTTGTCTCTTTAGTGTTCAGAACTGGATGTGACTGAGACATCCCAGTTGCCATTGCTTCTAGGCTCATGGAAATAGCATGGAACAGCTCAGAGCACATCTGACCTCCCAGGCCTGGGTGCAGCTGCCACTCTCTGCTGGCATGTGTGTTGCAATGGGGTCTGCAAGGCACAGTCCCTCTCCTAGAGGGGGACACATCTGCTGAGAAAGGAAGGAAATGTGCTGTGCTCCAGCAGGTCTGCTGGTCTGGATAACTGGGATTGCAACAGAAAGTGGGAAAAACATCTGCCCTGCAATGAAGACACATGGATTATGATACACGGATGAAAAACTTCGGAATGATGAAAGCAACTTCTCTGGAAACACACAGCACTGCCACTGCCACGAGCATGGGAGCAGATGCATTATCCCACAAGCTGGTGTGGCTCTGCTGTGGAAATACTGACTCCATGGACAGTTGCTACTTTGTGGAAACCATATGAGGTCAGGAAGTACTACAGCAGTCCAAGTCTTTGCATTCTGGGGAGAGATGGGTTTCTGAAAACCATGGCAGAAATACTGGAGAGGCTTGGGATAACCAATTTCCTAGAGTATGTGTAGGTATGAGAAACTGTCAGGACACTCGGTTCAATTTTCCCCCTTGAAAAATCACTTAGTACATCAGCTGTGCAACAGAGACACTGATAGACCACAGACTGAGGAGCAACAATGTGATTCACAGAGGGAGGTACTCAGAATTTGATAAAGATTTTTAAGATGGTGTTATCAGGCTCTTTGCACCACATGTGTAGGAAAGGACTCTACTTTTAAATAAATAATTCTGTTACATTCCTGAATAAGGAAAGTCTAATGTTAGAAAGGAAAAAAAAATACCTTTATCTGTCTTTCCCCCCACTACTCTCCACAAACTGGTTCTGAGCGCAATATGAATTTTCTGCTTGAGCCCATCCCAGGTAAGGTGTCTGTCTTGCCTTTTTTAATCCCAGAAGGGTGCTTTCTCCTCTGTAGAAGGAGAGGTCCTCTGTAGAGGATGGTCTCAGACAGGAGGGATTTTTTGTGATGAGGATGCATGACTGATGGATTTACTCATTCCCCTAAATCTTCCCAGTGTTACTCTGATAGAAATACCTGGACCTGGTTTCACCCTGCTTCACTCTTATGAAGTTCACACTTCCTCCTGGTTCCAGTAAGGATTTATTCCTGTAGACTCAGGCAGTGGGATTCACCCAGTCCCTAACCACTGAGGGTGTAAAAATGGTGCTTTTTGCTGATTCTGGGCAGGAACAAGGGTTTAATGCATTGTCTCTTTGGGGCAAGCTAAATATCGCCGTTCACATATGGAACCTGTCAGGAAAAGAATTTTTTCCAACACAATTTTTTTAAAAAACCTATAGGGAAGTGGAACCAGTGATCAACTTAATCTCAGTGAGCAGACTTGGAAATCAGGGCTACAGAGCCAGCACACAGCACTGGGGAACAGGCATTTGCTGAGCAAGTGTTGTAGGGAAGAGGGAGCAGAAGTGGCTCACGGTGCCCCAGTGCTGATGACCACAGGTACATGCAGCCTTTGATATCTTCTCCTACAACTCACTTATGTGTGAACAGCACAAGCATACAAGAGGTCTGTGTCTGTACCAGTAGGATTCACCCAATCCCTAATCCTGAAGGTGTAAGGACTGGCATTTCTCATTTCTTCCAGGCAGGAATGAGGGGTTAGTGTGCGCTTCTGGTTTTTTTCAAACTTTGTAAGCTAGAAGTATGTCATCATATACAAAGCCTGGAAGAAAAATGAAACCTGCTGATGTGAGCTTGCCCTTGTTGCTGCTCTGTGCAGACTGAAGCTCCCTGGTGAATCTCTCTGAGCTGAAGAAAAAGCAGGTGATGATGGCAGCAGTGTGCCAAGCCTGAAATAACACACCCAAACTCAGCAGGGCTTTACCAGCACTGGCTGGTTCTAACGTGGTCATGCAGCTTTCCTGGCTCCAAATACCAGCAGAGCAGGCTTGTGTCTGCCCATAGTGCACTCTGTCAACAAGACTTTCTAGTGCACATCAAGCTTCAGATAAAATCTTGAAGGTGTTGGATGTCTTCCTAGGTTGTGCTGAATATCCTCTGCTCCCATTCACCTTGGTGGGAACCGAGCAGCATCTCAGCACCACTCACTCCCTGTGTTGCACCATGGAGGTTTGGGATGTTGACATGTGATATTTCTGTACACAATGAATAACACATTGTTCAGTTGCACAATAAGGTGTGGATGGGTTTGATTTCCTGGGCAGAATCAGCTCTGTTTCTGAGCTGGCCTGCACAGCTTCTGTCAGTGGGGTAGAGAGATCACAGAATCACAGAATATGCTGAGTTATGTACTAGTGTGGATGCCTGTCAGCTCCCTGAACTTTAAGCATGATACTGCAGGACTGTGGTCTCATCACAGCCACCAAACTTGGAGAGAAACATAATTCCTGTCTGAAATAGCCCCCTTCTCTCTCTACTATGATGCTGAACACAAGTAGATGTTTATTTTAATACAAAGTGAAAATGAAACACTGAAGTAGTCTAAATCTCCTTAGATTAATACAGAATGACACAAGTGTTGCTGACTCTTCACTAGAAGGGTGTTGTGAGGACTCTTGTCAATGTTAATAAATTCCGAGAGGTTTTGTCATTTAGCTTGTGATAAGGAAACATTTCTCTCTGTTAGCTATGCAGCATGAACAGACAAACTTGACAAGCTTTCATTGTCATTGTCTACAAAGGTATTGAAAACTTACAACATATGGGCACATACACACAAGCACACACCCAGACACACATGAACACATACACACACAAAACTCACAGCCAAATGTACAGACACAGATTATTCTGCCTGTTATGCTATAGCTGTTATGTCTTGGCCTCCTTTTTCAGCAGGCGGAAAAACTGTAACTTATTGTTTTTCAAAGTTTAAAAAGCCTCAAGCAGTAATAGCACTTGCTATAGGTATCACCAGTCATTATCCCTGAGCATGCAATTCTAGTTATTTCTAGAAAAATACACAGGAAAAGGATCTACTCTCTGTATTAGTCTTATATTCTTGAACAGGCACAGGTACATAGTAGGGAAACCAGTGTGGCCTAGGAAACCAAGATTCAGGTGCCTACCTCTCCCCCTGGGACACCAGATTATGAGCTCAATCTCAGATATGCCACCTCACAGCTCCTCCTCTTCCCCTCTCAGCTGTCTCTTATATTTACATTCAACAGTGCAAAAGGCCATCCAGTAAATCTTTGCATGTGTCTTTTACAGACACATCAGTCAGACTGCAGATCTCAGCTCTCAAGGGTGGTGTTTATCCAGCCACCATCAGTTTGTCCAGGCCAGATGATGCCAAGGGAGAGGACTGGTTTTCACAATACAACACAGCTGCAGCTCCAGCCTCCAGGAAGGGCATGTTATAGACCTTGCTGCAGATGCTTTAAGCAAGTTAAGAGCCTTTGCCTCCCTCTTTACCTTTCAGGGAGAGTTGACCTATCCAAGATTTAAGCTGCCCACTGGAAGTGCCTTTCTCAGGTCTTCTCTAAAGGAGAGTGGTAAGGTGCTGCCTGTGAACATCACATGCAACTGCCTGTCCCAGATGGCTAATATCATCCTAAATTTCCTAAACAAAGAGTTCCACTTAAATTTTTACCTCAGGCTCAGTGGCAGAATGCTTTAAAGTCTAAATCAAAACTCCATTGATAAGATTAAAACTAGAGTCTGCACCAAGCTTTTGGATAGCTGAGGAATAGAAAGCAATTACTTTTATGCTGCCTCACTGGAAAATGTCATCATTTACAGCGACACTACTGTGTTTTGCAATGAAGAAAGATGTGACATAAATCTGTTTCTAATTTTAGCTTGAATGAAGCAATTATTTTAAATAATTTGTGGTCAAGGTTGCTTGCTACTGCACTTTTATTCAAACTCATTTGAAGCAATGCTTTCTTAACCTCACTAAATAAAATTGGGAAAGCCAGAAAGCAGTAGATCTTCATTAGGGTTGTATGTATAGGCATCAGCCAAAGCATTATCATTAGCAAATCCATCAGGCATATCTAACCTTAGTCCAGCATTTAGATCTAATACGATCATTAACTGCTCCATTTACATCGTTATTGAAGTTCTCTGTACCATCTTTTCTTGGCCCATTCTTTTGTCAATGAATTATATATTACTAGCTCAAGACTGAAGACTGTGCTCATGTCACTTGGATTTCTGAAAAGTCATATGACAATCCTTATTAAAGGATGTTCCAGGTATCTACATTTTTATTTTAGACAATAGTCTCCTTTAGGAGAGAATTAATAATCTTTGTGATTGAATCAGAGAAACAGTGCTAAGCAAGTCTGAGCACACTCAGAAACTTGATAGATATGAACAATGAGAATCAAGAGAAAAAAGAATGGAACAGAAGAACTGGTATTTATTAAAGAAAGTAAACCTGTCCTCCAAATTCACTCAGTTGAAGGAAAATATACCACTTCTAGAAACAGACCAGTCTGGCCAAGTCAGTAATTCTTTAGCAACTCTAAAAGTGGAAAAGAAACATACAAAAAGTGAAATCCAGGTCAGGAAACTAAAAGTGAGTATAAAAGAATCACACAAGTGCTGAGAGAAAATAAGAAAGGCCAATGCAAAAAAAATAAGCTATAAAGATATAAAGGATAAAATGAAAACACTGTATAACCTCCTTGGCAGTAAGAGGAGGACCAGAGAAAGCATTGGCCAGCTAATAAATGGGACAGGAAAGCTAATAACAAAACATGCCAGGAAGGCCAAATTGTTTAATGCCTTTTATTGCTTCAGTCTTCATTAAAAAACCTGACTGTAATCAGATGGCTGACACAGTTAACACCAGCCACAAAAGGGTAAGAACTCAGGCAAGAATAGCAAAAGAAATGTTTAGAAACTGCTCAGATAAATTAGATTTTGTCAGATCATTCAGGCCTATAATTCACCCTAGGTTACTCAGGGAACTGGCTGAACAGTCCTGAAGGCCATGGTAATTATCTTTGAGAATTTGGATGATGCTGGGCTAGGAAATGGCTGAAAGAGTGCCTATTATAAAAAAAAAAAGGAAAAAAAGAGGACACAGAATCCCAGCTGATCTGACTTTCATTTCCCAGAAAGATCATCAGACAAGGGTTCAAATGATGTGCAAGAGAGTAAAGTGATAAGTAGTTATCAATGTGATTTGTCACGACCAGATCATATCAAACCAGCCTGTTCCTTTGTTTGTTTTTCCTATGACTGGGTAACAAGACGTGGATAGGCAAGAATTCAGTAAGGTTTTTTGCACTGCCTCAAATGGCATTTTCATAAGCACCCAGGGAATTGTGGTCTGAATCATGGGCCTCTAACTTTGCTGGGCTCAATGAACAATAATACTGGAAAACATGTTGCATTGCTTTCCATGTCAGCTTTGGTTTGAAGCTCTGCTGCCCAAAAGTCACGGCCTGGAGACCACTGACTCTTGACACAGCTGCTGAAAAACAGCCACAGTGTTTATTGGTGAATGACAGCCAAGGATCTGCTGTCAGCATTCCAGTATTGTGATGAGTGGATTTAGCAGGTAAGGTTCTCTAAGGGGCTGTCCCAGGTCCAGGTCCACTGTTATCATTACAGTAACTTGAATGATGCACTAAAGAGCACATATTTTAAATCTGGGTTTGACTCTGAGCACTGACAAATGGCAAGCATCTTGAAGGAAAGGCCAGAGGAATTGAAGAAATACTCTAAAAGAACCAGGAAAGCCTTGAATATAAACTGGCATCTCGATAGGGCTAAATGCCTCCCCGAATACTTGATGGTAAATGAGAGGAGAGGTAGCAAAGATCTGGGAATTGTAGTGGATCATAAGCTCAGCATGAGTCAGTAATGGCATCCTGTTGTGAAAGAAGCAAATATTATTCTGGGATATATAAACAGCAGAATTGTACAAAAGACATATGAGGTAATCCTTCCATTGGTAAAGTCTCCAGTAGGGAGCCAATTCCAGTTTTGGGTACCAGACTTCAAGAAAAATTATAGAAAGCCTGGGGGAGAGAAATGAGCCTGGTCAGAGGTCTAGAAAACATGCTCTGCAGGGGCAGGTGTCAAGAAATATGTTTGCTTAATTTATGCACAGAAGACTGGTGAGACTTGTGCCTGCCAGGCTTCAAATAAATAAAATTCTACTTCAACGAGATGGTAATAAACCTTTGTGTCTCTATTCATTGTGGTTAATACAATAAGTTATATGTTTAACAAAGATTTAAGTTGACTTTTTGAGAAGTCTTTTTTCTGGAATAGATTCTTTCAGAAACAGTAGCATCCCTCTGATGAGGGCCATTAAGACCAGCCTTATGAAATATCTGCCAGGAATGCTGCAGGTAGAGCTAGTCTTGCCTTAGACAGATTGATGAATTATTCCTATTTTCTTTGTTTCTATGATAATGGATTGGTTTTTAAAAAATTCTGGGTCCTGACAGGCACATATTTACCATAAGCAATCTCTGTGCTTGTCACAAATATGAGCTATGAAGATGTTGTGTGTGATATTAAACTTGTTGCTGCATAAATCAATGTGTAAGTTAAGCATATGTTTAGCCTAAGTGCATTCACTTCTTTTGGTAAATTTCCACTGTCTTTCATTCAATAAGCCATTGCCAGCAAAGATGGCTGTGGATGCTGGATGTCCTTGTGCCTCTCTGTCCTGAGCCTCAGTCCTGGGTCCTCCTCATCCAGAGGATGGGGTGAGGAAATTGGTGTTAACATTGGCAGGACAATTTTTGATTACCTCTGTGGTTCTGGCTTCACAGATTGGCATCATGATTGGGCTGGGGAGGTGGAGAGGACTGCTCCTGCTCTTCCTTGCTGCACTTCAGAGACAGCAGGCAGCCTTTGAAGAAGCCTGTGTGATCACGAGTGGACACTAGCTAATGTTAGCCACCAAACAGTGGGTGCTGAGCACAGGCAGTGCATCTCCCAAGACACCACAGAGTGAGCCAGTCCAGCTCTGTCCCTCCTCAGTCTCACTCTCAGGCCACCAACCCTGGTCCCACCAACTGCAGCTGGTGTTGGGTTTCAAGGCTGCAAAGAGGGGGTCAGCACATTTCAGTGATTCAGCCAAATGGAAGCCCACAGGAACAGGACTGACCTGGCCTAGGGATATGGCTGATCTCACCCATTACCTGCACCGGCATTCTGTCCAAGAGCAGAAACCTAAAGCCAGATGAAGACAAATGCATTGGGCTGCTTCATTAGGTGGCAGCCTGCAGTTAGATAAGGCTAGAGTGATGTGTGACAAGTGCCCTCATTTTGGCCAGCAAAAAAGACTTTGGTCTTGGCTAAAAAAATGTCAGCTAGGAGCCATAACACCCAGAGCTGTCTTGTTTTGCTCTTTATTCCAGTGAGTGATGCCAATGCTTCGTTGTTTATTTGGATTGTTTTTATCTTATCCAGTGTATTTTGCTCTGGGCAAAGACACAGGCATTAAGTCAACAGAAGGACCCAGGTGTTGCAACACCGAGTGTTGGAGCCTTAACTGTTGGGCACTGGGCCACATAGTGGAATCCCAAACCCCCTATGAAATACTGGTCTCCCTAAACAAAGCACAGGGTTTAACACAATAATTTATCTCTAAGCATCACATGGGAATGTGTCTTTGCCACTCAGCCATTTATTATTTCCCAGCCAGGAAAGTTAGAGAGGAGGAAACAGTGTCTCATGTGACTTTGGAGAACCTTACACCCACTGAATAACAAGCAGCAAAGGGGGAAGGGGCAGAGGGAAGACGAGCAGTTTGGAAACAGCCTAAAGGCAGAAATTTGACACAGAAACTCTTTGGCATAAATTCCTCAAGAACAGAGGCTGATAGAGGAGAAAAGAGGTCCTTAAATGATTTGTGAGCAGAAGGCAGGGTGCTAATGTATTTACATAATTTATTCATAACAGTTTGCTCAGCCAGCTCTACCAAGGACATGGGTACTGGACGCTTTAAATGCTCTCTAGGGGAGGAGTGAATCTGACTTTTTGAGCTGAGTCAATGGTTACTGACGTCTCTGCTGCCCTTTCTGTGGTCCTGTCTGAGCTGTGGATCGAGTGCTGGGTCTGATGCTGCTTGGTCCCATGTACAGATGTTCCACCTGCGCAAAGGGCAGCTAAGCACCCACATCCAAACCACTGCTGGATTTCTGTAATTTTAAAAAAAATTTGTACCCACCTTCTGTACTGTGGGGTAGTACCCCAAGCTCTCAGACAGGGCATGCTGTGGGAATACACCATCAGCAGCTAGCAGTTATGAAATATCCTCAGATGCCTTTGACTGCCTGAGCCTATTCAGAGCAGCACTGTTCTGCATGCTCAGAGAAGAGATAAAACTGCCCTGCACAGCAAGTGAATCCCACATTGTGCTGGGAACAGGAAGGTCCCTCACTGCCCTGCTGCTCCCTCCCACTTCTCTTTTTGCTATGCAAAGTCAGATGAAAATGAATTAGATGCTTGTACTGAGCATTTCAATGGGACAGAAACTCAGCAATATTACCTGTCAGTGGGTCTCTGGGAAGCAAAAGGTCCCTGCCAAGTCCTGCTGGATCTTGAGCAATCTGTGCGCAGCGTTGGCATGGCAACCCACAGATACAATTTCCATGCATCATTTGTCTGGGGACTAGCTTCTTTCCAGCCTTCAGCCTGGAGCTCGGCGCTGGCCAAGTGTCTAGTTAATCTGAGTCATTGAATTGCTGGAAGGGATTATAGGGTTAAACTGGGATAACCTAAATAGGCTGATAAAAGGCTATTCAGTAAGAGATGCGAGTGCCCAGCATCTCCCAGGTTTTAGCCCTCATGCTCTCGAGTCCTGAGTTGAACTTATCTAAAAGAATAAAGGGTAGGCACTGGAAATTCCCCAAAAAACTTGGAAAGACACCCAGTGTGATCTTAGTCTCTGTGAGAACTGGAAAGATTTATTTTAGAAAGAGGTTTGGATAGTTAAATATTATTTGGAACTGTGGTTTCATTTTGTATGTACAGTGGTTTTACTCTTAGTTCCTTTCCTGTTCTATAATCTCCTCTGTTTCTTCAGTGTAATTAGCCTGTTGTTTTCAAAAGGCTGCTGATTGTGTGTGAATTGAACTCATTATGCACTGCCTTGCTGTGTGTGTGTGTTATGTATGCTGCCTGTGCCTGCCGTGCCTGACCTGCACCAGAAGGAGCTTTGCAGCCTCAGATATTTGCATGTGGCAATGGGCTGAGGAGGAGGAGGAGGAGGAAACTCAGCAGGCTCTTGGCTCAGCAGCTTCGAGCCCGGTTCTGGAGATGGAGCCTCCTCTCCTGGAAGTGTAGGAGTCTGTGCTCCCTAAACAGGAGCAGATTTAATCACAGGGCCTGTCAGGGGGTGTGTTTTGGGTACTGTCTGAGGTCCCAGTGCTCAGCAGATGTATTCCAGTGTCTCTTGCAAGATCAACTGAAAGATGAGTCCTTGCAGAGGCCTGATGTTTCTAGGTTCTGCTCCACACCAAGACCTATAAGTACTGGGGAAAACCAGTTTCTGGCTTCTGCCAGCATGGCATAATTGTCCTGGAATAATGGTGCTTGAGAATCTGTATCAAGGCTTTTAGGCTGTGAGTCCTGCTATTGCAGATGCTCTATGGGAACAAGATAGAACTGGGCTTTTGAGAGTTTTTACAACTCCACATGTCTTCAGAAAGGCTGGCATGGTTGGTTGCCTCAGAGCCATAGGTTTTATAGCTGTGGGTTCCCAGACCTGCTTGCTGTCTTCCAGGTGACTTCAAGTCGAGCTTAGATCTTCTGAAAGTTTTAGATCATTTAGTTTCAGCAAATGACTCTTTTTGGACAAACTTGGTTTTGCTCCCAAACTTTTGTCTAACACTACTTCAGCACTCAAGGAAAATAAAAACTTCCCATTTGGATTCTCAGTTTGCTTTGAGCTAAGTTCTGAGGAAATTGCCTTATCAAAAGGGAACTTCCTTGTCCTTCCCAGTCTGCACTGTGTGTGACTGGCTACACTCTCACAGCTCCCACTAGTTCTGACAAGGGTTGCCAAGTCACATATGTCCACAGCATTAATTCACCAGAATGTATAGAAGATGCCATTCCTTCAAGTATCTTTGTATACTTTTAAGTTCTTGAAGTGCAAAAGACTAGTAATTATAGATATGTATTGTAAAATACTTTCAAAAAACTCCCTAATTTTCCTCCTGTGAAGTGATCACCAGTGCAGCAATGCACAGAAACTAAACAAGTTTGAATCCAGGTTATGTTCAAGACCAGGGAAGAAAGCAATGAAAACTGCTTCCCCTTTGCCTTCTCTTACACAGACACTTACAGAAATTCCATTTAATTGGTCTCTGCCCAGGGTAATGTGAATTTTGTCCTTAAAGAATAAGTAGTCATTCATTTGGTGGAGAAAGTCAAAGTCAATGTTAATGAGATCACTCCCCCCATGCAGGGAGGTCCTGTGGCTGAAATGAATGTTATCAAACATAAATACCATTTATGGATGCCAGGCTCCCATTCTGGGTTGGCCTGACAACTTTGAAAGCAATGCTTGTTTTAGTGGCAAAGCAATCAGCCA